CAAAGAATAATACTCAAAGTTGTTTTTTGTTCTCTTATATTAAAAACAAAAAAATTTCTTACTTTGTTGATAAACGACTATCGACAGGTGCAACACCTGATGATGAATTAGCATTTGATCGAATAGCTGTAACAACCACTGGATTTTCTTTTTCAATATCACCTTTAACACGACGAGAAAGTGTACGATGTGCTTCCGTATATTCCTAAAACAATCCAATATAATATATGTCAATAGTCACAAATTAAAAAAAAAGAAAATTCTATATATATAATTTTTAACGTCAATATTAGTTAGCAAAAAAAACCAAATAAGAGAAAAACAAACCCTATATAGCAAAATAAGATAAATAAAGAATAAACATATAAATCTATCGATACCCAAAGTAGAAAATGAAAAAAAAATATTGTCAGTAAATGTGCAGCAAAAGAAAAAAATAAAAACGCAAAGAAACCAATATAAGTTTTATATCTATTAGTGAAAGCCTATTTGTAAATATGTGATAATCTACTTCACGCTTGATAAGATCTCGACGAACGCGTGTAACAACAGCAGCTGTTCGCCGCATCGATCGACGAATAGTTGCATAAGAATCGACAACCAATACTCGTGTATCATATGCAACAGCAGCACTTGTTTGACTAACAAAATGTGCTAATTGTCGACGATGATATGTATCATAACCATTCGATAGATCATTCGCACAATAAGAAAAATGATTTTGTTGTTGATGATGAGCTAGATTTGTTGATTCCTAAGGAGTAGTAGTAGTAACGGGTGATTATCGAAAAGTAGAAGCAAGATTAACAAGTTCTCTTTTTTTTTTTTTAATCAGAGAATAGAAGTTAAGAAAGAAGCATTACTGATATCAAGAAAAGAAAAAAAGAAGCATAAATAATACTTAAAATACCTCAAATGTAGGCCAATTCATTTTCATACCGGCACCGTATATATCCGACCACCATGATAAATCTTTATCAGCATCACAATTTTTAATTGTTTGAGAAAATTGTTGAAAATTTGATGATCTAAAGAAAAACAAACAAACATCAAATCATTAGAGAAAAATAAAATTTCCCTTGAGAGATATTTTAACTTACTGTAATCGATTGCTTAGATCAAGACATTTTTCAGTTGCACCTAAAAATTCTCGAAATTTAACAAGACGATCTTTTTCAAACGTTTGACACCGGGAGAAAACCTTTAAGAAAACAATTAATGAATGATAATTCGTTTTTTTTTCTGTATTAATAATATTCAATAACACATACATCGTTCATGTCATCCATATATTTTGGATTAGCTCGATTAAGTTCTTGAAGAGCTTCATTATATTTACTTTTAGCTGATTCTTTTTCTTTACGACATCTTTCAAGTTTTTCTGCTACTTTAGCACGCTAAAAGAATAATTTTCAATTTATTGAAACCAAAAAAAAACAAAACAAGATTTGATTTACTTGATCTGATGGTACAGATCCATCAAGTTTAGAATTATTTTCTTGTGTTTCAGCCATTTTAAGATTTTTTGTTGCTGTATGATAATCACGTTTATATTTATCAACTTTAACATATAATTTAGCCCATGGTTTTTGTGCCTGAAAATATTTAAAAAAATGTTTTATTTATTTATATTTTCTTTTTAGTTAGAAAAAAACAAACTCGTTTAAATTCGTCATCAAAATCTTTTGTTGGTTTAACATGCATCATTGATTTAACATATTTTGTTTTTTGCCATGTTTTTATCGCTGGTATTATATCATTTTGTAATTCATCATGTACTGTTTGATGAACTTCAGCTGATGCATCAGCTTCACCCATTATTGCTTTCCAAGCTGATGACATTGAACCAAATTCTGATGCTTAAAAATAAGAAACAAAAAAAATCAATTCCTTAAAAATAATACAACATTTTATCTTTTAATTCATACATTTTGCAACATAATCCGACCATTTTTTTGACCAACCTTTAAGCATTTTTGAAAATGTTTTTTCAAGTTCAGCTCGCTCACTAATCATACTAACAAGATCAGTTGTTAATTTATTACCATCATCACATCGTTTTACTACGCGATTATATTTACCCATCTATCGAAAATAAAAGATTAGCAAGAAAAAAATAAATAAATAAATCCTCTTTTTTTTCCATTTATATTAAATACATACTTCCCAAAATGAATCAGTTTGTGGTAAGTAAAGATCATTGTCCACATTAGTTTTATCAACATTTCCGGTATCCATGATGGATTTATGGATGGATAAAAGAATAATAAAAAAAATGAAACAATCTAAAACACATGAAAGTTTATCACTAATTTACAGACATAAGAAAAAAACAACAATGATCTACATTAGAACGATTAAAGATATCCGATATCTACATGTTAATTTCTTGAATAACTATTGAAAGAGAGAGAGAAAAAAAACCAACGATGAAATGGAAAAAAAACAGAAAAATCCTAAATCATCATTTAATCCGTTAGCAAATGTTGATACATAGAACGTCACCATCACGTTCACAACAACACATAAACACTTTTATCATCGCGACGTATAATCAAAGACAAGAAGAGAAAGAAGAATAGCTGTAAGACATACACAGCATCATAGCTAGCACTACATATGCCGTTCATTCAATTACGAAGAACGAACGGACGTAGTGACGAACTCTTTACTCTTGTTTTTGACGGAGAACGAGAGAAAATAATAATGCGTGAGAATTTTTGTTATGCTCGCAAAACAGACATAAGCGAAAGAAAAAAAAAGAAGCAAAGAAGCAAGGTTCTTTTCTTTTTTTTTCTGAAGTCATGTTATTTTACTAACATTACTTGTCGACTCGATTCGACTTAAATGAACCGTATTACTTATTTTACTATATCTTTCTTTGTGTCTCTTATTTTCGATCAAGCTTCTCTTTTTTCCTGTTCTTCTTTTTTTCCGGTTCTATATTTTCGGTAAAAAGAAGAAAAAAAAAAAAGAAGAACAAAATAAGGACTTACAATTTATTTGCTGCTCTTCGGTTGGATAAAGTAGATCATAGACAAAAAAGATGACAACAATAATAACCATGCTTACAACTAAGTCCTTGACAGTTATAACAGAGATGAATGAACTTAGAGTTTAGAAAAGAAAATGAATAAAAATGAACGTCAAAAAATAACGAATGCATATTACATGGTCTAATGATAGTAGACATCGATTGTATCAGATTTACTCGTTAACTCAATCAATCACTAATCTATAACATTAGAGACAGGTGATCACGAACTTCTCATCTATTCTTGGTAGTTTTTTTTTTCTTCATACTTCACTTCTCTTCCTTTTTTTTAAACATTACACAAAATACACTTAATATGTTTTTTTTTTTTTTTTTCCTAAGCGAGAAATTGCCTATACTATATTTATATTTTATTTCCGTCTCATGTGAAGAAGCATAGAGAAAAGAAAACAAGGAAAATTTCATAATTGATCATGGCGAAAGCAAAAAAATAATCTCTGTCAGCAAATCAAGAAAAAAGAAAGTACCTATGCGAGATTATTTTTTGTTTTGTATTCGTCTTCTGCTGTTCAATCGATCCAGGTCAATCAATGTATTATCAATAACTACTACTACGCCGCCGTCGCCGCCGCCATCTCAATAACAATGTAATGTTAGAGCTCATATGCATGCATACGAAAAAAAAAAGAATGAGTTGAAGTATGCGCAAACGAATAAGTGCTTGGAGTTCATCTCTATTGCTAGTGTAAGAGAAAAAAGAGAGACAGAAAAAGAATGAACAATCTCTCTTGTTTGGTATGTAAGGTATACTATGACTATATGCATATATATTGTTAAACGTTTACGAAAAAAAGCAAGTGATCTTGAACTCGTATATGCATATAACGAAATGAATGTTGGCTTTCCCTCTCTCTCTCTCTCGCTCTCTATGTGTATGTGTCTTATGTTGAAATAGTTACAGTTACTATTCAATCTTTTACATATGCTCGAACAAAACTTCATATGTTAAATACACAAGGGATTTCCAAGAGCGTAGCATGCGATTCATTAACTCATGCTACCATATCTTTTTTTTGTGTGTTATATTTATTTATTCAAGTAAAAAAGAAAAATATATATATATATTCAAAAAACATTTTTACTTATCTAATAGATATTGAAAACTAACAGTCTTTTTGGAAAAACAAATAGAAAAAAAAAACAAGAATTACTTGAACGCAATCAAACATTCAGAAAAAGACGGAACGTATTAAATAGGCAGGAAAATTTATGTGACTAAGCAATAAGAAGATGAACAGAAAGAGCGAGAGAGAGAAAATACGAAGGTGATTGATAAATATTGATTGGTAAAATTATTTATATTAGAATCTAATTAATTAATTAATTAAATATTCAAATAATTTAAAATCAAAAAGTTTTCTTTTCAACATTTAATATTATTTCATAAAATTTATCAACAGATGTCACTATTACTTGAATTATTGTTTTCTAGATGGTTTTCAAGGCTAACAAATCGGAATATTCATTGTCTCGCTTTCTATTCAGACCTTATTATTAAAGCTGATCTTTTAATCTGTGTTAGAAAGATAATTGTCAACAATGACGTCATTAGTAAGTCATGGTTTAGCTCAATTGAAAAGCAAGGAAATGCATGATTATTTAATGAGGTAAAAATGAAATACATCGGTGAATAGAAAACAAAAAATAATTTCTAATATAAATTTTTAGTACGATAAGAAAGAAAACATTAAAGATAAACACGAAATGAATTGATTTATTTTTGTTTTCTATCAATATGATTAGCATTTCTGAGGACCAGGTATATCTATTTGAAATAACGATTAACAATTGAAAAAATAGGTTTAATTCCTAGTTGCTAATTTGGGTTTATTATTGGCAGCTTTAGCTGATTTAAAGAGTGATCCAGAAATTATTAGTTCAAAAATGACTGTTAGTAAATAAATAATCAAATCATTGTTTGCAATATAATTATTTTATTCATTCAATGTTATTTATGCGTTTTGTTCCTCAAGTTAAACCAAAAAATCGACTTTTAGTTGCTTGTCATTTTCCTAATGAATATGCTCAATTAATGCAATTAGTAAGATTTACTAATTATAAGTATAGATTTTATATTTCTCTAAGAGATTTTTCATTTTTTTAAAAATTTTTCAAGATATGGTACGACATCACCTATGAAACAATATGAAATTCTATCAACTGTCGTCAAACCAACGGTTGAATTTGTTCATTCAACATAAATAAATCTAAACCATTTGAGTGCTCTCAGAATAATACTTATTTCACCTATGGTTTTCTTTTAATATTATTTGCATTTGACACTCAAGTATTTTTTTTTTGTTTTGCTATTATAATAGTGTATTTTTATGTATTTAATCTTCTAACATATATTTGATTACTTTCATATACTGGAAAGATAAATGAAAGAAGTTGGATGATGAATTTTAAATATATATGAATAACGAAAAAATTTTCTTAGTTTTTTTTAACTTAAAAAAAAAACCTACTTTTCTTTTATACACAGGATATTTCATATTACCTTCGTAATAACTATTCAATCGAAAAGAAAAGAAACTTATAACAGTTAGATATGTACCAAATCTATGTTTGCAGTTCATTAGTCATTATAATTAGAAAAAGTTGTGTTAAGAATCATAATTGTATTTTTAATGTTTAGTTTTATATTGATGATAATTTTTCATATTCATCATCATCATAATTAACATAAACCGTAGTCAATATCCGTTTCTTTCATATTATTATCATTCGAGGACAAATAGAAAAACTTCGGCTTCCTGTGAATTATAATTTAAATTTATATCTTTATAGTGTAGTATCTTGAAAATCTTAATTTCATACTTTTTTATTCTATGATGAAATTTTCAAGTGTTTGATATATTTTAAATTGAATCAATGGATTTATGCTATGTTTCTTTTGTTTAATTAAAAACTTGAAGGGCATATTTTATTAGATTTTATAACGCTATTAATTTACAAAGAAAAAAAGCTTTACCGGTATCCGTAAGAAATGCTTTAGGATATGGTGTGACTAAATATTAAGTTTATCGAATTTTTTTTTTACTATGCCATAATTGAGAATTGTGACATACATCAAACCATATGATGCGCAACACATTTGATCTTGGTCGTAGAGAACTTTACAAGCTATGGATTGACAAAAAGAAAAATATTATCTTGTTTGATTACCTTGTCGCTGAAAGGCATGACCTACAAAATTGATAAGGTCAGAAAAATAAAATTTTTCTTCAGGATCTTTTCTACTTGCACGCAAAGTAGGATCTCAGGAGAGATGTTGTGTGACATGTATTGACGAAGATATGTTATAATGAAGTAAATGCGCTACACAAGTTTCTCAATAGCTTCGTAGATAAGAGATGCTGAACTATTGAATGAATCTTGCAGCAACCATCGGAAGATAAAAAGAGGAAATAATGTATTTCGTTCATATTTGTTTCTTTGTAACCCTTATCACATAAGAAGTCAAACAAAATATATATATCGTCGCTAAAATGTCTTCATTGATTATATTATTACTTCATGACTAAAGAAATGTTTTGAAAAAAAAAAAGTTGTATCTAAAGTAACTTATATGTGTGTTGTTATAATTATTTTTTCATCACTTCTCCTGTTCTTTCTATCGTATTAGTCAAAGTAAATTCAACAACTATCATTGTAGAGTACAAAAGTATAACTTTTCAAATTATTCTATTTTCTTGTTTCTTCTAACTGAACCTATCAAATTATTTCGCATAATATGTAATGCATCTGTTCATTCTATCCATATCATTACCTTATGGACGAAACACAAACTTTATTTATATGGTTATTTTATTATTAGTTCTTTGGCGATTGTCACCGGAAGTAAAGAATTAAAAAATCCTTTGTAATTTAAAAATGTTACGTAGATAGTTTTTCAAGAAATTTGATAAATGTTGTTATAATGTGCATGCATTATTTTATTGTTTTTAATAAAAAATGAGAAATGCAAACAAATACGATATTTCTATTACAATAACAATATCCTTCATCATTCATTCAAACACGAATAGTTTGAGTTATGAAAATTTTTTGAATATAAGAAAATAGATGAGCATGGTTAGCAAAGCCAAAAAATTTCTTTATTTATTAATGCTTAAAGATTACTCATATGTTTAAAAAACCTCGACTTTCGTAATTTATTTTATCCAATTTATTAAATAACTTCCATTCATTAATTTTCGACCTATTTCTCACAGAAAAAATGAAGTTTCAGACTACTCAGGCTCGGATTCTACAGAAAAATCCATATAGTTCGGTAACTTCGGACAACTTTCATAAGAAGTTGTTGGATCCGATATCTGAGAAACGTTGAATATATATCCTGGATTTCATAGGTCCTAATGGAATCACGCTGGATTTACAGGAAGATATTAGATGCTGTCACCCCTCTCTCCTCCTTATTACCGATTCCTATCTCCTGCCTCACCTAGCATTGGCTGCAAATTAGCATCTCCAATTTATCTTACTTTACTAATTAGTACATTCAATTATTTAATAATAAGTCTGGATAATAAATATTTTTCTAAATTTGTATTTATATTGATATTTTAAACGATTAATCGAAATAAATATTACAAAAAAAATACAATATCTATTCTGAGTTACCTATATATGCACTTATCCAATTATGAATCTAACTAAAGAATAAAAAAACAAAAATATAACGCCTTAATTAGTTGACTATTATGTTGAGATTTTGACTAATAAATCTAAAAGTAAGATAATATAATATAATTCTCCATTTATCGTAAAACGAAAATGTTAAATGATTAAATAGAAAATGATTATAGAAAAAGAATTATTCAAACTTATGATAACATCTGATTTTCGAATAATACATTTAAACAGAAAATATGAAAAATGTAAACATTTGAATTTACCATAAAAATCAAATCTTGCGTAGTAAATTTTTAAAAAAGTTTAAAGAAAAGAAATTTATTTTATTTGTACTAACTGCTAGCTTAATATGTTGAAGCTGAATAAAACAAACTTAAAATATTAATTATTCGAAATGTAATCAATATCAATTGATAGACAACAAGAAAAAATGAGTAATATATTTGAAAGTTTTGACTTGATTATAAAACATATTCGTTATGGAGTAAATGTCAATCCAGCTGAGCTAAATAATCTTTTTACCGAAGCACTAGTCTTTATGAGCACACGCATTTCCGATTCCTTTCAATTGTTAAATGAGTCAACATTTTCTGAATGTTTTTGTTTAATTTTGAGAAATTCTCATTTGAAATATCTACTTGTCTTAATGATACGATCATTCGTTTACTTGAATCATGGACTGAATGAAACAGCTAGACTTAATCGTTTCTTTGCTTTATGAAGACCACTAAAATTTCAACATATAAATGTATTTATTCAATATTAATTAATTTTGTAAAAAAGAAAATTTTCAAACTATTTGAGTGTTAAATCTAATAAATTTAAATGACCAGTTGAACGTCAATCTGGATCAGTGTCTGAATTTTCAAGTGATGTTTGAATAAGTGAAGGCTAAAATAAAAATTGTACATTAAGAAAATTGCTTTAACTAACTGGTAAAGTACATCGGTTTTACTAGTCACATGATGATGAGTACTATTCGATAATGTTGAAATCGATGATAATGAAGATACGTGTATGACCATCAAATGAACAAAGTATTCCAAATTGTTCAATTTCTTTATTTATAAAAATTTTATTTAAATAAAAATAGAGATTATATCAGTACAGCTCGTTGAGGACTATAATGTAGAACTCACATGTGTTCTTTAGTCTCATTGTACTCATACAAAATACCTGAAGTAAAAAATTTCTATCAGATTATAAAGGAACGCATGAGAAGTTAAATTTTACCCGTTTTTGCCTTTAAAGTTACCATGATTTTCATACTTTTTCATCCTTATCACATCTAAAAACTTCTTCAATATTCGTTTTCTTTTTATTTATACAATTAAAGTCACACAATATTTAACTACATAGCCTTCAGTGGCAGTTGAGATAACTGCTTTTCTTATAGTTTCCGATAGAGCTCGTTGAGTGTGAATCTGGTTTTATAATTGGTGATGGTCAGCTAACGGTCATCCACTGATATAGATGGCTCAAAATGAAACGTAAAAGAAGTCCTATATGCCAGTTGAAAAGTCATTATCGATAGTCTTTAAAACAGATCTTGCTAGCTCTTGGGCATCTGCTTGTCGCCCAATACTAACGTCTTTTATGCTTTGAGTGATTCTCTCCTTAACCAATTCATCGATCCATGGGGTATAATATGTTGTTAAAAGCATAAACGAATGAGGGCATGGTAAATTCCGGTGTCCAGAAAATTCAAAATTGGCTACACCTAAATCGCAGGAGTTGGGTCGGGTTGGGTCGAGTTGAGTTGGATTGGGTTGGTTTGGGCCCGAAAATTCATTTTAATATATAAGTGACGACGAAACGATACCTATAAATCTTTGATTACATGCCTTCTTTGAATTTTCAGGAAACTCATTTGAATTTTCGAGAAATTTTTTTGTATTTCTCGAAGCTGGCTCCGCTTTCACTTGACGAGAGTCTAGGAGCTATAGGAGGTAATGCAGCTAATGGAGGTATGAGAAAGTAATAAAGATATAAGGAGCTATAGAAGGTAATAGGAAACCGTGAGCATCGCTTTTCCGGTCGGTTCTTTCGCGGCACCGACACCTACTGCGATGTAGTGCGGGTCGTCTTCTCGCCGATTCTGTCGCGGGACCAAAACCACGTGCGATGCAATGTCTGTCGTTTTGTGGCGGGTACTTCCGCGACACCCAGAGCTGGTTCGACGTGGTGTCTGCAGTTTTGTGACCAGTTCTTTTGCAGCATTCACAGCTGGTGCCATGTGATCTGTGTCGTGTTATAGCCAGTCTTTTTGCGGCACCGACACCAGGTGCCATGTGATGAGTGTCGCTTCGAGGCCAGTTCTTTTGCGGTACCTACAGCTGGTGCGATGTGATGTATGTTGTTTTCTGGCCAGTCCCTTCGCGGCACTCTCATCAGGTACGATGTGTTGTATGTCGTTTTCTGGCCAGTCCTTTCGCGGCACCCACACCAGATGCGATGCAATATTGGTGTGGATGGAACAAAGACAATACTGATACACACATCCACACTCAACCCAACCTAACCCAACCCAACCCGACTCGATCCAACTCAACCCAAGCCAATCCGACCCAACCCAACTCGACCCAATCCGACCCAACTCAACCCAAGCCAATCCGACCCGACTCAACCCAGCCCAATCCTAACTTAGACTTCAACTTCATTTCTGTATTCTCTTTTTAATTAGAAGAGTTTTCTATCATTATTCTTAAAAGCATTCGATTAAATTCCCATGAAATTTCTCCTATAGTCACTTTATTTGAATTTCCTGGAAATAGGAATTTACCATCGCATGCATTTTTCGCATAACCTCACATCGGACCAATTAATACATGTGTGATATAAATGAGCTGATATAATACTCTACAGAATCTGCTAACTTAGTACTATATATCTATATAAAAATTTTCAATTGCTGTTTGTAGTTACAAAAAAAATCAATACCACAACATGATGAAAATTCATAAAAATGGCCTTTATAGAACAAAAAGGCGATGTTTTGTGGTCTCAAAAAAACATGATGTCCACTTAAAGTTCGTAGGATTCTTTGATCTAAACTCTTAGGATAGTGAGGCCTTCGATTGTTGAAAGTTTCAGCTTCGTTACTGGCACGTTTCTATAAGGTAGAACTACCAAAAGGCATATCCACCTCATAAAGCCCTCAGAAAGATGACCTTCGGTGCAAGCCATTTCTGGAGATCTCACGACAATTTTTTTATATCATTGTAGGCCAGCGAAAGTACTTCCAACTTCTAAAAGTCAGCTTCCAAATTGATCCATACTTTAGGAGATAGTCTATCCTTAAAACTTCCATTTTTATCAAAAGCTCAATTTTCAGAGAACTCCTCTGACCAAACGAAACGATATAGAAGACTGAAATTTTTCTGGGAGACAGATCTCTCATTATTCTATCTACGATATAAATTTCAGATCCTTACCTCATTCCAATCAAAAGTTACGAAACACTAACGTTGCCTAAAAAGTCGATTTTTCTCTCTATTTGATGATTCATAAAATTCCAATGGCTCAATATCTTGAGACAAAAATTTTATTATGAGTAAAACTCATTGAGTTATATGTCTGTAGAAAATTTCAGCTCAATCGGTCGAACCGTTCTTGAGATATGGCCTCATTAGGACTCCCTTGGACGAAATAATCATTTTTAGAACTTTTTGTAGAATGCTCATAAAAATTCGAGGGTGCAATATTTTTTAAAACGGCTTGCGTCAAAATGTATAACACTCTTCCTTCGACAACATATCTTAATTTGAGCAGAACCTGATGATCGCGACTGAGCAGCTTGTGTGGAAATGGGTCCCGATTTTTACCCAATCAGCTCATATATACACTAGAAAAGGTTTTTGTTTGGGTCAAAAGTAAAATACCAAGGTTTTGAAAATTGTTACTAATAGCTCGAGGGCAGTAGTACTTAATTCGAAAGCGGCAACTCATAACTCGCTCATAAGCGATAGAAATCCTGATTACAATGTACAGGGTATATCTAGAACCTATCAAATATCTCTATACCGTCTAACGAGTGGGAAAATGATTTTGATTGCGAAAATATGTAGGGTACCCATGGTACCATATATTCTCAAAGTTTCATGTCAAAAAACATCATGGTTGAAAAATGGCGAAGTATACACTGAGGGGTGCTGCATTGGTTATCGTCATTTTTTAGCTGAGGGTGCCTCCATTGTGATTTCAATATCTCAAGAAGGGAGCGGCTTTAGAAGCTGAAATTTTAGGCCTTTTTATATCTCACTTAGGGCTACATTTGGGCCAAGTCTCATTGAAATCTGTGAGATTAATTGAGCACGTGGGCCGTACTTTGGCAGTCTCTTTCGTGCAATGGCTCTTAAGGAGATACATCTCCAGCATCATCCCTAGGCTAAAATTAAAAAAAAAATTTTCATAAGGGGATGCAAATCCTGGAGATGTGGCATCCCTTACAGAGATGTGATGAGAGATACGGTAGCTCTTCTAGAGATAAAAGCTAATATTAGATATGTGTAATACATGAGTAGGGTGAAAATGCTTATATATATAACATCTCTGTGGAGATCTCTAAGATCCCCTAGTTTCTGGACCTGTGGCACTGTTGGATTGGTACGAATGTGAGTGTTTGAGATGAAGGTGTCCGATCTTCTTCTCACTCTTACTCTAACTTCATTCAAATCCCTCAGAACTTGTTCAAAAACAAGAGTATTTTTGTGAATTTGTAACTGTACCAAAAATTTTCATTACACCTACCCAATATCTGCGACTCTTTGGGCCGCTAGTATAGGAGAAGAAAGCATGTCCTGAAGAAAATATTTCAAGTGATATTTGTGGATTTAGAAAACAAATCAACTTTTATCACTTCTTTAGATTTGATGAAACAAAAATAGATATTAATATATGAAGCAACAAGTGATTGAAACCGATCAGGATTTTAATTGGTTATTTAAAGTATGTAAGGAAAAAATCGATTATATTTTTTTTTGTTAAAAAAAATTTGCAAAATCGAAAATTTTATTAAACTCAACCGAATATTGCCATATAGAATCATTTTCTTTCTGATTCTTTAAACCGAATTAATTTTAAGCTGATTTTGGACTAGAATTTAAGATAGACTGTAAATTGGTTGCGTGCATTCAGATTTTATGATACATACACATTGATTGAAAGATAGAATTCATGATTTACTTCGTGATATCGAAAGCGGAGGTATTATTTATAAAATAGAACGTTTTTTTGTTTTTATTTTCACTCACCTGTAGAAGTCGGATTGATCGGTAGCGGATTAATGATTGACACTGGTAGTAAAAATAGATATGGTGGATGAGTCTCTTCCAACTGAATAATATGAAGATCATCACGATTAAGACAACCGATTACTTTGAATTGAGTAGCAGCCATCAGAAGTACTCCACCTTCAGCTGGATAATATGAATGTTTATGGATATCTTTAGCCGATAGGCAATGTAAGGTAAACATTGTACGATGATCTTTCGTTCCCAAAAATTGGTCCGAATTCAAAACATTAACAACTATTGTACAGGAAGAGAAACCCCACCAGACAATTGTTTTTCCTTCAACGTAACGTTTGCTCAAATCTAATCTAACACCTCTGTATCCAGTTTTATGAAGTGACGGAAGACGATAGAGTGCGTTAAGGAAGAGTCTCAGAAATAGATACCATGACCTGAGCTTTTGCTATCGTTCAGATGATCGTAATGTATCGTTCAAAACAAAATAAAGGCATTTATTCAGTGGCTCCGACTCCATCGTGTATAGCATAATTGACGCGGACTCATCTTGTGTCAATTCATCGGCAGGATTCTTACATCGTTGTTTGGCAACATGTACACAACTTTGAACAGCTGGTAGAATAGTAACAAGCGGTTCAACAGCTATTTCAAGTGGAACAAGTGGCATTTCTTCATAGCCACCAATGGGTGTGATAAATTCAAGTAGCTCCTGGACAATGCCGATAATACGTAAAATACTATGTGCTGTCGCTTCTTCTCTACCGCCTGTAGCCATTTTTAACAGAAAGAAAGCTATTCACGAAATATAAAAAACGATAAATATCTGAAAAATAATAAACAATAAGTTTTATACGTGTTAATATGTTCGTCAACATTGATCTGTTTTGTCTGATGACAATAATCAACTTTTACGACCATTGGGCTTTAATTATACTGCTTTATTCAATCTGATATATGTTTAAAGATCTCCAATGCGTGTGATATTAATTCCAATATTCATACCAAGATATATTTTCATGACACTATCAAAGTAATTTTAAATTTTTATATTGAATTGTTAATATGATAGAAATTTGTTCAATATTGAATGCGCACTATTTCCTTATGTATCAATTCTTCATTGTCTAATTTTATACCAGTTTTCTTAACATAAGTTTCATTAAAACATAACTGTTTCTTCCGAAACGTTTGTAGCACTTTTATGTCCTTTATATTTCAATGAATGGACGACGAGATTCGCTGAAAACTTCAGAACAAGAAATCTTTATGTCTGTTACAATTTTTTAATAAAACCCATTGAACACTGATGGCACGGACTTTGCGAGAATTTGCACAGCTGTGTTCTCAAATAAGTATAGAGAACAATGGATAAAAATAAATCTATAGATTTAGCTAGAAAAAAAAAATGCTTGTTCAAGCATTTGTTTTATGACGAATGATTTACTCAGACCATGTGAGGACTTGGGTATAGGTGTGAGTGTGGATGTGGGTGTGGGTGTTGGCTTTCTTTTTATCTACAATCACACCCACACCCACACCCTTCATATATGGCAAGGTTCTCCAGCTTCTGCTCTTCCTCTCATGAATTCTTCTGTGTTTATAATGTTTTCGTTATCATCCTAAGTCATTTGATGGGTATGATGAAGATTTTTGCGACTAGCCTGACACATTGATCGGTCTTTGTAATTCTTTTGCTGACTCTTCCACATATCCCAGTGTGACATGATACTTTTCACGTGCACTTAGCCGAATAGATGAGTCGCGAAATTGCTCCATGGGTCGAACTGTTTAGTCGTTGACGTTTCACATCACTGTGAGTGATAAAGGTTGTCTGTCTAACTCCGTTACATCGGTAAGTTAATCGAAGCTTTCTGTCCTCACTGTTACGAATTTTTCTGTGGTTGGAAGCTTTTCACCTTTATTGCCACATATCACTTTTTGACTGACAGGTTTTGATCTTTATTTGTGCAGATTGGTTTGCGACTAGAAGCTTTTCCACTGTTATAACTGAAATTGATGAATAAAGTAAGATCATGATCGAATCGATACTGTCCATTTTCTAATTTTCAATAGCACGTATAACCATCGGACAGAAAGGTAGCCGAAAAATTCCACGTTCTTCTGAATTTAGTTTCCTGTCAAGCTTCGAGATAATTCAAATGAAGTGAGTAGCAAGAGCTAGGTGCTACCCTCTTTACTTATATCTAAGACAGTTGTGAAAAACAGCTTATGATAGATAATGAATTAGAAAGAATATCGAATTTCACTGGAACCAGTGGAAGATAACAGGAAGTTGGACAGAAGTGATCGGAAAATCCGAAGACTCTCCGATCCTGAATACTGCTTTCAAGTTTATTCGATTTCCGATGTTTTTCTGTCGAAATCTACCCATACTTCTTGACTTGAGCTAGAGTTCTCTTAGCAATGAATTTTTTCATAACTCTGATCATCGGATCGGTTGAAGCGTGAGTTTTCGAATTCACAGCGACAAAAAACAAACGCTAATTAGAGTAAAATATAAGTATCTTTTGAACTAAAACGTTTCATGATTAATCGTATAAATAGAACTCAAATGTAAATTCAATAACTATCATTGTAGAATGCAAAAGTATAACTTTTCAAATTATCCTATTTTTTCGTTTCTTCTAACTGAACTTATCAAATTATTTCGCATAATATGTAATGCATCTGTTCATTCTATCCATATCATTACCTTATAGACGAGACTAATACTCTATTTGTATGATTATTTTATTAGTAACCCTTCTGCACTCGTCATCGGGAGTAAAGGGTTAAAAGTGTTGTTTTCAAAGGATTTGATAAGTTTTGTTTTGATGAGTATGTATTATTCAATTGTTTTTATTAAAACAAGAAATGAGAAATGCAAACAAATACAATATTTCTATTTCAGTAATAAAATTTTTCATTACTAATTCAAGCATGAATAATTAGAGTCATGAAGATTGTATTAATATAGGTAAGCATATGAATATGATTACCAAAGCCGAAAATTTTTATATTTATTAACTCTTATGATTACACAAATTTCTAAAAAATCTTGATTATCATAATTTATTTTATCCGTTTAGTTAAATCACTTTCATATATTCATTTTCAAACTTTTCTAACAGAAAAAGAAAATGTCAAACTAGATAACTATTTCCAAGTCTGGGTCATAACTTCAATATGTGAAGTAAATATTTCTTTAATTATAAAAAAAAGACGCATCAAAAACATAGTCAGATGATATTTAGTTTCTTGGAGTTCACAATAAAATTTTACGAAGATAATGGCGTTCAGCTATCTTAATAATTCATTCACAACAAGCAAAGTAATATTTATTGAAAGAATGAAGTTGAATAAAAAAACAAATTAGAATTATTGCCGCTGGGAATCGTAACGATAGTAATGAGGGGTAACCAATATACTTGCAATAATAATCAAATAGATTGGATCATTGTCAAAAATAAAAAGAAAATGAAATACTTCTATATAAGTCAATAATAACATTAAAGATATTGTTAAAAAATATCGTTTGAGAGTATGTTGCATAATAAAATTTCTTTCGATAGTTTGTGTAATAAATATGATATGAAAGAAAATTATAATATCCAAAGAGAAAATATTATAACTTATTAAATCTTCATGTAGTTGTGAATTTTTTGAAATAGAAAAATAAAAGAATGTGTGTTAAAAAGTTTACTGTGCGTGCAAATTCTTCATATTGTAATGATAACCATTTATTTATCATTATTATGATGGTTCCTTTCAATGCGCTGGCTGTTGTATTTGACAAAAAGACAGTTTTATTTGTATAAATGTATCCTATTTATCTTTCGTTCTTTTTTCTAAAGGCAAAATTTTTTTTTATCATTACGTCTTTTTTTGTCGTCAGTCAACCGTATCCCTCGCGTATTTATGATGAGAGTGAAGGTAATCATCGATCATATAAAAGTAAGAAAAAGAAGAAAAAAAAATTATGTTTATAACTAATAGAGAATCAATCGTTGTCTGAATTTGCACTATAATCTCTATAAGAGAAACAGATAAAATACAATTAGACTATTTTTAATATAAATGACAAAGTTTTAGCAAAATATTTTCTTTATAGATCGTTATAGATAGATGTCTGTCTGTCGTGGTCTATGGAAAGAAAAAGCTTCCACTTACTCGCTATAATATTCCATATTTATTAAAGATCAGGTTTCATAGAAAAGAAAAATATGCCTTTCTAAAGAAAATAATGAATCATAGTTAAATCAAATGAATTATTAAGTTCATCTGTTTCCTGACATTAAAAAAATAAAATATCATTATCAGAATTCATTCATATACTTATGTATAAAATTGAAATGTTAATTATTTTACTAAGTTGTAATGCTCTAGTCCAGAGCAAAGATTGAAAATGAAGGAAGTATACTTTGCAATTCTATAATCAATATTCTTTTTCGTTATTTAAATTTATAGAGGTACTCATGCTTTCGGTATCAGTCGAAAAACATATACTTATTATTCATGAATCATTTTTAAATACAAAACGATAATGTTTTATTATTCAGCATCTTCTATTAATCATTCTTTCTAATAATTCAACACTAATCTATTCTATTATAACATTGTTTTATCCGCCTACAATTATTGTTGATTGTGCATGAATAATCTATGAAGAATCCTGATATTTCAAAGGATACTCTATCGTTAGAAACTATAAATGATTAATTCATAATGCCGTATCAACTGGTCTTATTATCACAGCATCTGTTTTATATTTGTATAATGTTATTTAATATGGATAATTTACTTATGTTAATTCATCAGATATCTGATCAAATATTAGTATGAGTATTCAACAACTTGATTTTTTCTATTTATTCAATCTTATTGTAGAGTTTCTTCTATTTGCTTATTTAGCTGAAATGTCGAAACTGTCTTTGAAATGAGCATTTCTGAAACGTACAGATCGTATTATTTCAATCATACGTCGAAAAAATTATCATTTAAGACATTTATAATTAATATTCTTTGTTTCAACATTCAGCATGATTATTGTAAGTAGAGATGAGAGGGATCGGAATCACTGAAAAGGAGATTACTGAGGCTATGACAAAAAAAAACGTGGTTCCTGCACATTTCTAATTGTAACAGATAGAAGAAATGACTGGTCAATATTGCGAATCTATTTTTATTTAATACGGATAAAATGATTGTCTATTTGTGATCTTCCATTTATAATGAACAACAATAAATGTTATCTTTTTTTGACATAAAACATAGGAATTGCAATTATTTAGTCGTATAATATTTATTGTCTAGTATTAACTTAACGAAAAGAAAAACTAGATTGTTTGTTATAAGTCAATAACGAAGGTAAATTAAGTAAATCTTTTCTTTGATGTTGTAAAGTATAGACAATGATTACTTGATTTCCTCTCCGAATATATGAATTTTAAGAAACTATCCTGTTCTCATAGTCAACCAATGAAAAAATGCTTTGGATAATAAGTTATATATTTTCTTGATTAAAATAACAGCACACTTTATTTTGATAGATTTTTTTTTCTTAAACGTTAAACTTTGACAAACAGATAGAATTTTCCAATCTTATTTGCATTGTTACAAGCTTTTCGGAGATATTCTTTCACAGCATTTGTTTTAAAATTTCTTTTGGAAATAAACTTTACTCATCAAAGTTTGATGTTTTTGAAAGAAAAAAACGATCCAGCAAAAAACCAAAGTTTCGACTTTTATCGCACTTCAATACATTATGATAAATGTGTCTTTGTCTTAAGAAATTCTCATTCACCAAAGCTGAAATTTTTCGGTACAAATTTAGTAATCAAAAACAAAATTTTTTTACTATGTCGTTTATTTTTGCTACATACTCCTTAACGTGACAGAAAAATATAATTTTTACTTAAAAACATTCTGTTGTTATTTATCAGAACAAAAAAAGAGACAAGATAAACGTTATATACAAGTCATTTCAATACAAAAAAAAAAGAGTCATTATTTTACATGGTTCATTACTTTCGACGTTGTTGATAACGTGAATTATTATCATTTGATCTTTCATATTCAATAGGTAAATGTCTTGGCTCTTGAGATTGTGATCGATGTTGTTCAAATGATGATGGTGACATTAATAAATTATTTGGATTTGAATTAAATCCATGTCCATTGAAATTTTTCAAACCTAATTGGTCTGCTCGATTAAACCATTCACGTTCAAATTTATTTTCATCATCAATATGGTCAAATTCACGATTTTCTAATAATTGTCCAGTTGATGGATCACGTTCTTTTAATATTCTATGACCACGTTCACCAAGTCGATGAGCTATTTCCATTTTTTCTAAATTTCGACCTGTATCACGAACAGCTTTACGTGTTCGAGAAAAACCTAAATAGAAAAATTTTGTTAAAAAAAACAAACGAACTATTCACAAAAAATTCGATAATTTACCTTCAGGACCACGTAATTTTTCTGATGCTGCTTGAATAATTCTTGGTTGTCCACCTTGACTTCGATCCATACTCATTGCAGATGATGAACTATATGAAACTCCGTAACTATTTGGTCCACTAAAATCATTACTGTTTATTCTTGTTTCCATTTGACTCATCATTTGATGCATATTATCCATAACATTTTGCATATATGCAAATGGATTACCAAATATATCTAATTCTCGATTATTATTTTGTTGACGTTGTGTTAATTGTCGATCACGATTATCATATCTTGGTCCATGTTCAAGTGCTAATGATTGTGGTATATCGATACCAGAAAAAAACGGATCGTTGCGAAACGGTGAAAGAAGACTCATAATGTAGACAAAAATCAAAATATTCAAAGTAACTTTTTTTTATATACTTGTTTTTACCGTTTGAAATGGTGCTTATATATATATGTGTGCATTGGCAGTTGTAAGACAAATTATTGACGTAACGAATTTTCGAGATTGTTCTCGAAGAGCGCGTAGAAGAAAAAGAATCAGAAAGAAAAAAGAAGAAAGAGCGGTTAACACTCCTTTTTTTTTTATTCTCGAAAAATTGAGAAAAAGAATCAAAAAAAAAGAACAACAATTTATGATATACATAGAAGGTCGTTTTTTTCTCTTTCCTTTATTGTGCAATAACAATAACGTAAATTATTCAATGGAAGTTTCATCTAATATTTCTGGAGAATATTGTGATTCTTCTGATGATCGATTATTGATTAATTTATTGTTCGTTTTCTTTTTATTATAAAAACAAATTCCACAGATAATTATGAATAAAATCAAAAATAATAACATAAATGTAGACATTTTTGATAAATCATTAGTCAATGTTTTATCTGATGATAATAAAGAATTATTTTGATTATCTTCCAATTTTCTTAATCTATAATATCAATATATGAAAACTTTCTATTCAAATGAAAAACATAATAACATACAATATACGAGTTCCTTTCGGATTTATTTTCTCAAATTCTTCAACCTATAAGAAAATAATTCTTTTATTTTTGTTACATATAAGAGTTTGTAGTTTTGGGTTACTAATCATCGACTAAGTATTCATTGAACTATTGAAACACATCAGTATAAAAAGGGTATCTATTTTGATAGAGTTGACATTTCAGTGTTGTAGCGAAGACGAATGTCAGTAAGTCACTGTTCGGTATTTAAATCGGTGATAAAAATGTCAAGTGGATAAATGTATAAGAGAGAAAATATTGAAAAAGGATACGCCTCCAGAATGTATGTGAAGAGAAGATTAGAATCCACACTGAGTGGCGAATTAAGAGAGAGAAGGTAATCACTTTCTTCTCCTCTTTCCAAAAGATTTGTTTCGATTTTCTCTAGTAGAAAAAGTTTATAAATGAGCTGATACTATCTCTAATGAGCTTGAAAACATGTTTTTGCGATTATGATTATCTCTCTTCTCGGTCGAAGCCCCCGACATCACAAAAATCCTAGATCCATCACTGTCCACATGCACATCCCTACTTATCAATTCAGAATAATATTAAACTCACAGCTCTATAAATCATATTATGATCTAATGGATCTTCAGATTTGGACGGATAATAATCTAAACATTCTATCGTACGAATAAATACTATGATATGATTTTTAAACATACAACAAATCCATGACCAATCAGGTTTGACAGTAGTTGATTGATTCCAATAATATTCATGACAAGTACCAATAGTTGGTTTCCAATTAATGACATATGAATATCAAAAAATTAAATAAATATATATTAGAAAAACAACAGAAAGAAAAACTCAGAAGAGGAAAAAACAAATGATTAAAACTCACTCACACATCATATTCAAATAATTATTATCCTCATATTGAAATATAATTTGATTTGTTCGAATATCAATATTATTTAAAGAACTACTTGTTCTCTCGACAGAAAAAAAAAGAAAACGATTCAATTGAATATCAAAAATAACAAAACCAAGCAAATTCATATTTTTCTTACTAAATATTTATCCTCTGTTAAATGACCAATCATTAATTGACTTGAATGATTATTATCACGAAAAATTATATTTATTTTTTCGATATTTCTATCTCCTGTTTTATATTCAGTAATAATTGTAGCTGTTGTTGGTATAAATTTTCTACATAAATCTTTTGAACATTTAGATGAAAATAAAAGAAATTCATTTGCATGTTTTTTTTTATTCAATATTTCACATAATAAATCTAATTTATCAATTTCAATAATAGCACGTTGATCTATTGATGATAATAATAAATCACACGAAGGATCATTTTCTACTAATGTTTGATGAAATAGATTATCATTTGGAAAATGATTGAAATAAAATAATAGTCCATTTTTTTCACAACGAAATAATGATGGTACATTATTTATATGAAATATTATTTCGGTTTTTAAACAAAAAATAAAATATTGTTGAATTAAAAAGAAAATTAAGAAAAATATCTTTTTATTTGTTATAAACATTTAACCGAAAAGAAAATATTTAATTATCAAATAAATTAAGGCGGGATAAAATAATTTTAGAAATATAAATTATGA